TTGTTTGTGAACATGTGGAAAGTTTATTTTAATCCCCCTTTGAGTTAGTGGAGCACAAGGATGAGGGAAAGACACCTTCCTCATTTAGAAAAGTCAAATGGTGCAGAATGGTTGAATTTTAAGGCTCTCCATGTGATTGATCCTCAGTGTGGAACAATAGTTTGGTTTAAGTCTGGGGGAAAGAGATGAAAACATAGCAGATGAAATCATGAAACAGCCCAGCGCCGTCTTTTATGACTGCCGGGCGCTTGGACCCGGTTGGGCTTAAAAGCTCAGCCAGTTTTGGTGTCCGTGTTTGTGCGGGGCTATTTACAGCATACAGACGTTCTTCAGAGAGAACTGCACACGTCCATAGTGCTCTCAGCCACAGAGTCTTACTTTCCTTGCTTTTTGAATCTACGACAATGTTGCATTTTGTTGGAGTGATCTTGGCCATTTTAACTTTTTAATATCAGAAAGGTGGCATTTTCCGGCTGTTTTTACTAAGTGTGGTCATACCTGTGCCTTCAAAGCATGCGGGATTACCAATGGACAATGTCTGCTGAGCCAATGGACCAAACAGGAAAGGTGGGCAGGGATGCTCAGGTGTCAGTGCACCCAGCGATGGGGAGCTACGGGAGCAGTTGTGGAAGGCTGCGCGCTGGATGCTGGTGGCCCCAGCTGAGGGCACTAGGAGACTGCAGGGAACTGGGCCATGAGGAGGACCCCACAGGGCCCCGTGGAGGACCCAGACCCAGGCCTCTGAAACACCTGCCCCAGAGGGCACGAACCGCCCGCCGCTGTGAGCCAGCGCCAACCAACCGGGAGGTTTACAGCTGGACCAAACCTTCCCCTGAACTCTTAGCCCGAGAAGCAGAGGCAACCAACAGGAAGAGGGCACACTGGGACCCCATGAACTAAAGAAACACTTGCTCGCTTGCCTCTCCCGGCTCCTTATCCCCACACACTGGAGGAGTGAGGCCCTGAAGACCAGGGGTGACTTGGGGTTCAACTACCACCTCCTCAATCACACCCATAACAGTGGGAACCGTCATCCTTGCTCAGCCCAACCGCTACCTCTGATTCACAGAAAGAAGGTGGAGGGCTGTGTTACTTGCATGGGAAGAACATGGCAAAGAGGACCCCCCTCCTGGCAGATTCAGCAGTGAGGCTAGGGCTGCTGGATTCGCGCACAAAAAGAGAGGATGCCCAGTTAACCTTGAATGTCAGATAAACAGCAGCGTGATACTTGGGGAATTCTTGCACTAAGAACTTATTCATTGTTTATCTGAAGCTCCAGGTTGACTGGGCGTCCTGTGCATGACCTGGTGACCCTCAATGGGACTCGTTTTCACAGTCTGCACCCACTTCCCCAGGAGCAGGCAAAGCGCTAAGTCTTTGGAGGGGGGAAAAGCCTGGCAGGGGACACCCCAGTCTCTCTGTGTTTACTACAGGTCGGGTGTGAGGCATGAGGTGTAACCCCAGTGTAGCAGCTTGGGGCACAGATCCAGGAGTGATGTCTTCCTGTAATATTGACAGTGAGCCACCATCACCCACTGGCCCACCTTACAGAATGTCCAGGACCCCGTTTCTTGGGGTCTCCCTGCCACCCTGGGGTTTGTTCTGTTTAAAGGGATCAATTCTGTTTCCAAATGTCAGGACTTTCCCACCCCACCCCAACCCCTCCCACCCCCAGCCCTGTGCTCAGATCCTGGCAGCCTCTGGGGGTCTCTGAGGGAAGCCACTTACACACTTGGCTGAAGATTCTGCCGCATTTGCTCAGGGCAACTGGTTCAGGAGGACTGCCCGGCCAGCTTGGCTTGAGCTGGGCTTGTCAGTCGAACGCCTGTTTCTGACAAGCTCGTGCTCCTGTCCTGCCAGCTACCATGGCTAGAATGTTCTAGTCCGACCAAGAGGCTCTAGTATTGTGAGCTTCAAAGACTCAGGTCAGTTCCCCATCCCTGGGCTCCCAGGAGGCGTTCTAGTTCCACAGCAAGTGTCCTCACGTCTGTCCATCAGCCTGTTCTGCATTGAAAGTGGTTAGAGAGGGAGAGACCTTTGTTAAGGTCTGGGGCTGAGGAGGTCTCCTGCCTCACATTTAATGATGCAGGACTCTTTCTTGGACAAAATGTGCTGCACCCATCCAGCAGAAAAGCAGTTAGAAATTTTAAGATGGCATAAAATTCTTCCTGATCAGACATCAACAGATGAATGGATAAAGAAGATGTAGTGTATTTATACAATGGAATATTACTCAGCTGTACAAAAGAATGAAATAATACCGTTTGCAGCAACATGGATGAACCTAGAGATTATCATACTAAGTGAAGTAAGTCAGGCAGAGAAAGACAAATGTCATATGCTATCACTTATATGTGGAATCTAAAAACTAATACAAATGAACTTACTTACAAAACAGAAAGAGATTCACAGACATAGAAAACAAACTTATGGTTACCAAAGGGAAAAGAGGAGGGTGGAGGGATAAATTAGGAGTTTGGGATCAACAGATACACACTACTACATATGAAATAGATAAACAACAGAGACCTAGTATATAGCACAGGGAACTATATTCAATATCTTATAATAACATCTAATGGAAACAAATCTGAAAAAGAAATATATATGTATAACTGAATTGCTTTGCTATACACCTGAAACCAACACACTGTAAATCAACTTCAATAAAAATTTAAAAAATTTTTAAATTCTTCCTGATCAAGCTCTTGCCTGAGCTACACAAATGGGAGAGAGAAAATGGGGCTTCCTGCCGAGTTTTGGTCAATTTGATCACCTCACAGGGTTGTTTGAAGGAGACTTAGCAGCCGGTTGTTTGAAGGCTGAACTAGGTTAGCGCAGCCTATGTGCGTGCGTGCAGGTGCGTGAGTGTTCAGTGTAAGTCCGAGTCTCTGGGTCCCCTTGGCCACTGGAACAGCCTGTCCACATATCTCGTGTCACAAAGCATTTCTTTCAAGTGGTAAACAACACACACAATCCATATTGTGTTTGAAGGAGACAATAGTACAAAGGGTTTGCCAGGCTATTTTTAACATTGAAATCTGGAAGGAAAATGATGTCACATGCTGGGGAAAGTGTCCAGATAGTCCAACAGATCACAGCCAAAGAATTCTGGTTTGTAACTGTTTCTCTCAGAGTTGAGATCATTCAAAAAGGTGAGTTTTAAACTCTTCATTCCAAAAAGCTTTGCAGCTTGACCAGGGCCTGGAGCAGCGTTCTCTCCTGCAGTTTGTCAAACAGACATGAAGGTTCCCACAAGCCAGTGGCCTAGATGGGAGCGAGTGAGCTGGTGGCTGGGGGGGAGGGGTCTTCTGATAACAGATGGACTTCGCACTGCAGAGGAGCAGAAGCCCAGCCCCATGAAAGTGAGGAGAGAAAGAAAAAAAAAAAAAGGTGATCCTATTGGGATTACCTGCCTCTGCTGTATGACCTTGGACAAATTACTGAACCTCTCTGATTTTCGATCATCTCATTTGTTACATGGTAATACCTATCGCAGAAGACTGCTGTGGGCCCTAAGATAATGAGTGTTATGGTGCACGGCACATACTAGGTTAAATGAGTATTCGTTCCTGTCTCTCTTGTCCTTTGACATTGTTTTTTTCCTTTACCATGTTTGACTTACCCCCATTGTTTACTTAGGAACACCTGTTACCAAGGTCTCCCCAGCTTCTCTGGCCTATGGCCTTTGAGTGAGGAAGAGCACCCCAAAGAAATAAAGTCACAGTGTGGTGAAGGAGGAGGAATGACATGACTATGATTTGCTCTGTTCCCTTGGGAGCAGGAATCCATATCTCTTCAGTAAATGGAGGCTTTATTTGCAGATGAATGAGGTCCTGACATAGTCCATGTGCTGACTGGGGACTGAGGAAGGTTCGCACTCCCCCCAGGACAGCCCTGGCCAGCTTTGGCATTTAGGTGCAAGACAATGGCTTCCCCATCATGGCCTGGCTGTCTCTGTTTATAACAGGAGCCTGGAGACAGTTGATTATCATTTTCAGGGACATGTGATGCTTTTATAGGAAACCCCCAGGCAGAAGGCAGGGAAACAGGCACCCGTTGGAGAGACCCTGCTTTCAGAGCCTGGTGTGGAAATCTCGTGGCCCATTGCTGTCAGGGGAAGGGTGTTGGTGAGCTTTGGTGGGGGTGGATGGTAATTTCTTGGCTATCATGCAAAATCTGGAGATGGACTCAGTTTCCTCCCCTCTTCCTCTCACTGTTCATTTAGCAACTATATCCCAATGACTTCTCTTTGTGAAAGAAAGTCTCAAAAATATCCCATCGGGTGATCCTGGTGCCAGGGGACAGTTAAATCGGTTTATCCTTACAAGAAGGAAGCCCTCTTATTACAAGAACGTGGCTCCTGTCTATTGCTGCCGTTTGTATCCAGATCCACTTGCTTTGTCTGCTGGTCCAGCTTTAGTCTCGAGTCATTGATGGAGGGGATGCGGGCAAGAGCACCAATGAACGAAGGTTAAGCAGGCTGGGGTGGACAAAGGGAGCTCAGGGGACCGGCATCTCACCTGGGCTTGTGTGGTTAGGCCAGCCTTTCTGGAGGAATTTATGACTAAGCTGTGACCTGCGGAATGAACTTCAGACTCTGAAGCCAGGGAAGAGGACTCTGAGCAGCAGGAAGAGAATGTACAGAAGTCTGGAGGGGGACAGGCACAAGGTCTGGGAGAAGCTACAGGTGCTCAGTCTGGTCAGTGCAGAACGTGGAAAGAGGGAACGAGAAGACCGGAGAGGTCAGCAGAGGGAGGCCTGGGCTCAGGCATGGCTGTGCGGGCCGGAGGAAGATGCGTTCTCTGCGGGCACCGCACACAGAGCTCCCGCTCAGGACGGACGGGGATGCGCCCGCAGGTAGCTCCTGCGGAAGCTGCTCTTGAGAGGAACGGTGAGCACAGCTCTCTAGCGTCAGCAGTGAGCTGCCTGCAAAAGAGTATCAGCCAAAGATGAGAAGGGAGTCCAGAGAGGGGGTTACCTTCTCCTGTCTTTACGCGGAAGGCGATCAGGGACGTGGATGGACCCTGCAGGAAAGCTGACGACCCCAGCGCCCTCCAGTCTCCAGGGTAGATGGTGGACCTGATCTCCTTAGTCCCTTTGCTATAAGAGCCCGAGAGAGGAAGGATGAGGAAGAGACAGAAAATGACCGCGGCAGGCACGCCCACCTCACCTCCCCGCAGCCTTCTTTCCCGGCTTCCTCCCTGGCTGGGCCCTGGTTTATTGGGGATGCGTGTGCGCGCGCGCATCCCAACCAAATGGGCCCAGTGAAAAAAGCTACATTGCCCAGCCTTCCTTGCAGTGAGCAGTGTCCATGGGACACAGTCCTGGTAGAAGAGGCATCAGCAGAACCCGCTGGCTGAGCCTTCTGCACAGTTTGTAAGTGGGTGCAGATTCCCGTGGCCGGCTCTTTGCCCTTTGCCCCCTCCCCCGCCCCCTCCCCGCCCACGTGTGGATGCTGCCGGTCCGGGGACCGCACTTTGAGAACCACTGCTCAACTGTCCGAAGGAATGAGTTGGAAAATTCTGTGTGAGTGGTTGTCCATTCCTGCTGGTCCCCAGAGCAGCTGGAGGATGGGGGACGGGGGCGGGAAGGGGGCCAAACCGAATGATGGGAGTCGTGACCCGGGAGCCCAGAGGGAGTCGGGCGCCGCCACTGACTGCCGCCATTGGAATAAACAACTTGTGCCTTTTGTTCTTCAGGAACTGTGGGGACGTGACCAGCGAAGGGTCTCCTCCCGAACGCTCCCCGCCCCCAGCCGGGGCCCCATCCCCGCCGCCCAGCTGGTCCTCACCTGCCTGGAGTCTGCGGCCCGGGCTGCTCGGGTCGATTTGGATGCAGGCGTGTTTTCTCCGTCAGGACTCGGTTGTTACCAGACACAGTGTTTATTTTTCTTCGTAAAAAGATGCAAGCTGTGTGCCTCCAAATGCTGGAAGCTCAGAATATTCCGTTTGTTTGTGGAGAGACAGACTGGATGGCACACTTTCAGTCAAACTATGAAATGCAGCCTGGCAGCCAGGAGGGAGGAGGGGAGGATGACGCCGCAGGCTCTTTCTTCTTCCCAAGGAGCCTGAGGGCTGGGTGGCTGGGTTCGCTCTCTGGTCCCCGGAAGGGGGGTCCTGGTTCCTGTGTTCCCCCAGGGCCTGTGACCAGGAAACTGGCAAGAACGGTCCTTCCCCTCCTTGGGGACAGGCAGGGTCGTGTGACAAGTGCTGTGCCCCACTGATTAACTCTGGGTCACCAGACATGGGTCCCTTTAGTTCCCAAATGGGTTTCCCCACTAATTACAAAAGAAATAAATGACCATTAAAATTTTTTCTGGAAACAAAGACCAAAGATCAAAAAAAAAAAAAGGTAAATGTATACTGTCTCCCTGTCTGTATCTGTCTGCCTGTCTCCACCTAACCTGCATTTCTCAGCTGTGGACATATGCCCGCAGGTTACCACACAGAGACCGCTATCCTAAATTGCAGACCTCTGTCCTAAACTGTGACGGCTGAGCCTTAGTCTTTGTCCCCCATGTGGCTATGTCAGACCCCGAGCGAGAGATGGTTGGTTGGTGGCCAGCTGTTTTTTCTTTTATAAACTGCGCTACTCTGAACATCCTTATGTATATATCTTAGCCCTCTTCGTTTGCTTACTTGCTCAGGCTTAAATCTTAGCAGTGAAATCGCTGGGGAAATGCTTTTGACGAACATTCCTGACCTGCTTTCCCCGAAGTCTGTACAAAGGACACCCGACCCCACAGAGAAAGAGCCTCACATCCCCACCGTCACCCCAGAGCACACTTTTTGGGGTCACTTTCTGGGTTAATCTTCTCTTAGAATTCTGAATGATTAGCATATCTTGACATGGGAAATCTTTGGGTCGTAAAGATTTAAATTTTTCTCCTTGTTATAAATAGTAGTTATAATAAATATTTTATAACAGCAATAATAACAATATGTGTTTGTTTCCTTATTTCAACTTTTTGTTATGAAAATGTTCGAAGTAAGCAACAAGTTGGAATAATAGTGAAATGAACACCCACATAGCCTCCATGTAGATTCAGTGATTTCCGCTTTGCTCTATATGATTTCTCTGTCTCTATGAGTGTGTATTTCTCTTTTCCTAAACCACAGGGCTGCCATCACACCTGAGAAAGTCACCGATCATTTCATAATGTCATCTAATATCTAGTCCACATTCAAACTAACCCAGCATTTGCAAAGTATTATTCTAGTGTAGCAACTTCTATATAATATGTAGAGATAATATTCAGGGCTGTCAGTCCTGGCCTGTGCATCGCAGTCAGCTGGGACTGTTTTTAATAGGTGCTGCGGCTTGAATTTGAAATTCTTCAAGGAATTTTGAGGAATGGGGGTAGGGGGTAGGATTTTGTTTTGTTTTGTTTAATTGGAAGTTTTCCTGCAAGTTAGCAAATTTACCCTGGTGCAGGGATGGTGGCAGGGCAGAAAGAAGAAACATGGTCCCTAAGATGGGGGCGGGGGGACAGTGACTGCCCCTGTGGTCCAGCTGCTGCAGTTAACCCAGCACACAGAAAACAGCAATGAACTAACAAAGTTGGAGGGGATGTGATTTTACTGTTGGAGGCTGGAGTCCCCTCAGGCCCCTGACAATGCCTCATTGTTTGTGCAACGTTGTTGCGTGTCCCCGGATTGAGGCGCTGGGTGTGCTGACTGCCCGGGGTCTGCTCCCTGTGCTCTGTCGCCCTGTGGGGAAAAGACAAAACAGGTTTAGTCTGCGGTTCCCCGAATCTCTCATCGCCAGGAGAGTCCACGTCATTGAGAACTCGGATCCACCGTGGTTTTCAACAGCGACGCTTAATGAACTGGAGCCTGAGAAACGGGCAATAAACTTTCTGGCCTGCTTAACCAAATACCGTCTCTCTTGTCCTGACGGCAATAATGTGTTTTATTGCCCCACTTTTTATTAGCTCCCAGCTAAAGGCCTCGCACGCTTACACAAGTCCCGGCGGCTTTCTTTCTGGGAACAGTGGAAATCTCAGTTTCACATTCGCCTTCCGAGCATCTTAGATGTCCTCCAACGCTTTTCCGAGGGAGGACCAGAACCATCTGAAAATGAGATTTCAGTAGTAGCGATGGTTTGCCATATTCCATCTTATAAATGCAATCTCTCTTCTTTTTGTATTTGTTGGATTTATACTAACTCGGCTTACGTAAACTGGCAGGGTATTTTTTAAATGAGATTGGTAATGCCGATGTAAAAAAGTTAAAATCCCCTTAAAATGGCGTAAAACCCATTAAAGTAGGGGCTGCATGGCAGGGATATTTCTGGGATGCATCTGAGAGTTGGACTTTGAACTCTGTTTTCAGAGCGTGGCTTCCTTTTGAAACATCTTTGCACTCGGTTTGAAATCATCAGGACTTTGTTAGTTGGGGGCAAAAAATTTATATTTGCAGCTGCAGAGAGACAGAGAGATGGTCGGGCGTCAGGCCTCAGGCACATGTGGTGTCAACCTCAGTGTAGTCATTTCTGAAGCCACTGAACCATTCTCAGGCTCAGTTTTCCTAAAATCCTCTTTATTTCTGACCTTGAACATCCCACCCCAGGTCTCAGACTGTCTCAGCACAAATGAGGTCTTCAAAACCAGGACATTGCAGTGTCACTGCATTTACTGGATAGTGAATACAGATTCCACACTCCCCTCACTCCCCACCCCTCTGCCCTAACTTAGAACTATAGTAAGTTTTATGTTTAACCAAAATTAGAAGGAAAAATTGTGAATAAACGGTATCTCTAAAATATATGTAACCACGGCCAGGCTATGAAAAAAAAAACCAAACTGTTGTTATTTCTCAAGTCTTTCCGAAAATTGCTTACAGACAAATCCTAATTTTCCCATATTTGAAATATGTAAAAAAAACTAAAGGATGGAAAATCTAAATGTTTTAGTGATCTCTCTAGACACCCAAAACTATTAGCATGTGAGTCATCTATTCATCCATCCACCCACCAACCTACCCATCCATCCATCCATTCACCCACTCACCCATCCATCCATCTTTCCATCCATCCATCCATCCACCCACTCAACCACCCATCCACCCATTCACACACTCACTCATCCATCTATCCATCCACCCACCCATCCATATATTCACCCATCGAACCACTGTTCCATCCATCCACTTGGTCATTATTTCTACTTCCTTTAAGCACCCACTGTATTAACCATGTTTCTGGCATCCTGTAAACGTCATGCTTTAAGGTCTGCCCTGCATGCAAATGTCAGACACACCTTGTTCTGGACAAACCGATGCCTATGCCTGAATCACCTTGCCTTGGCGTCCCATCTCCCTTGCTGCCTCCCACGTCCTGGGGAGGAGTCCTCCTCCCAGGGCTGCCTTTCCAATTCCAAAGCAACTGATCCAGAGTCTACCCCCTAACTACCTCCCTTACTGGATTTTCACACTTGGGACCAATATCTATTGGCCTTATCACCCGAGGGCCAGATGCCAGGTGACTAGGAAGAGCCCTACACCCCAGAGTGTTCTGGAATTATTCAAACGAGCCAATTTTAAGCCCACTTACCCTACCATGACCTTCCATGGAAACCACAATAAAGGTTCTTGTCCACCTGGTCCCCTCACTCCCTCTGCCTCCTGACGGATTCTGGTGCTACTCTGTGTGGCCCCTGAGTATTGGGTGCCCTCCCTCTTCTCTTAGGAACTGCGAGTAACCAACTATTTTTCCAGTGGCAATCCTCTCCTGGTCTGCTGCCTTTACCATAACTGAGTAATATTGAAACCTATTAAGATGCCTACTATGTGCCAGGCCTTGCACGAGGCCCTGCAAAGTGAAGATGAGCAAATTCGAGTCCCTGCTTTAAGGATCTTTACCGTTTGGATGGAGACAGACAAGCACCCAGGCAGGGTGGGAAGTGCTAAATTTGGGATTGTGCTGTGTGCACGAGGAAAGGAGGCTGGATCTTGAAAGATGAGAAAGGGAAAGACCACGTGTGGAGGCCCAGAGCATGTGAGCATGGTGGAGGTAAGAGGGGGCAAGTCGTCTGATGGGGCTGGACTGAGGGTGGGGGGTGGCAGGAAGGCTCCGGGTGCTGACTTTAGAAGTGGTGGACATTGATCTCCAAGAGATGGGGAGCCAGCGAAGGTGTATGAGCAGGTGACGTGATCAGATGTCACCTGAAGGTGAGGCTGGAGTCAGTGAGTTCAGGAGGCAGCTCTCTGTTGTTGCCTGTCAGGGTCTTGGAGAGCCAGGAAAGTCGTGGCAGGAGAGAAGGATTCAAGAATCATTTTGGAGATGCAGCCATCGGGCCTGGGCACCTGTCAGAGTGGGGACCGCTGCCGTCAGCGTCTGGCCCACAGGTAGGCGGTGTGATGCTGTTAAGTGACTCCTGGATCGTCCCTCTTCGGTTCCCCCTCCTCAGCCTCCCTTCCTGCCTCCCTTCCCTTGTCACCGAGTGCCTTGTATGCGCGTGTGTACCTGTGTGGGTGTGAGACAGAGGTCGAGGGCTCTGTTGACTGGCGTTTGCTGAGAGACCGAGGTAAGAAGGAAAGGAGGGAGAGGTCGAAGCATCAGGAGAGACGTCGGATATTTGATAAAACAAAGAAATGGAAAAGGATAGAATGGAAGGCGTGGCTTTGAAGAGGAGGAAGGGTGTCTCCTCTTGTAGACGGGAGGAAGTCTGTGAGAACTGGTGCAGACACTTTAGAGATGGAGCGAGTAGTCGGTCTGAATGTTTCCTCTGGGGATCGAGAGGCGAGTGGAGGCTGGACACGTGAGGCGGTGGGGTGTGTTGTGGGCCCTTCTAAGAGGGGACGAGATACCGTCTCTGTAGAGTTACTGGTGTGTGTCTGAGTGAGCTGGATGCCAGGAAGAAGTGCACGGAGGTGAGTGACACAGGCTTTACCCTCGTGGGGCGTAAGGTCTGGCAGTGGCGTTGGCAGCCTCTCCTGTGGGACCGGGACCAGCTTCCCAGAGGATGTGGCATTTGAGATTGTCTTAAAAGGATGTTTGAGAGGCCACCAGGCTGAGGAAGAAGAGGACGGATCCTTTGGTTTGCAAATATGGCAAGCAGAAACGATCTCGCCCATCGGTAGAGAAAGAAAACTAAACCCAGTGCATGGGGGTGGGGCTTGAGGACAGTCTAAACAGTGCCTGTGGCTTTTTCTCCATCTTTGACAGTGGAGATCCTCAGCGGTGACTGATGAGCATGTTTCTAATTATCACATTGAGTCTTTGATCTGTTTTAATTATTTGTTTCCCCTGCAAACACAGATTTGACCCACTGGTGGTGTGTTTAACCAGCTGCTCTGTTTGGAGGTGCTTGGGCGGGGGGCCATGTATGTTTCCCCAGTGAAATATAAATGCCCTGCCTGCCTTTTTATTCAGCTCGTAAATATGGAGTTCCTAGGCGATGGGGAGTGCAGGGATGAATAGGGTTGCTATCTGAGGTTGCCTCAAATGCTTCTGTCTGTCTGTCTCTTACCCCAGGAGGAGATTCTTGAGGAAGAGAGAAGAAAATAGGATAAAAATCCTGATCAATTAGAACCCAGTCTACAGAAATACGAACACCTTGTAGGTGGATCAAAGCCAGAGATTTGTTAATTAAAAAAAAAAAACCTTTCTGGGTTGGTCTTGTGGGATTCAAAGTGTTAGCTCCGTATTTGAAGTTTCTGCATCTTTTGTGTAAATCCTTCAGCAGTAATCAGATGAAATGGTCCATCCGACCGACTTGCTGAGGCTGGGAGGCAGAGTCATGCAAACAGGATTTTAAAATACAAACTGAATTTTGGAATTAAAACAAAATACTATATTGAGGTATATTTTACATATCATGTAATTCATCAATTTCAAGTGTTCAATTCAATAATTTTTTTCTTGGTAAACTTACCAAGTTGGGCAATCATTACCATAAATCACTTTTAGAGCATTTTGCTAGTATATTCTCTCATGTACATTTACTGTTAATCCCTGTTTCTCCCAGTTACCCCCTTTCTGCACCTTACACAACCACTAATCTACTTTGTCTCTGTATATGTGCCTTTTCTGAACATTTCAAAGGGAATCATACAAGAGACAGTCTCCTGTGTCTGCCTTCATTCACTTAATGAAATGTTTTTGAGGTCCACCCACGTCTCATCATGTATCTGCTATCTATTTCATTGTGGAATATTATTCCATTGCATGGACATACTACATTCTTTGCCCATTCACCAGTTGATGGACATTTGAATTGTTTCCAGTTTTGGTCTATTATGAATAATACTGCTATGACCATTCTTGTTCAAGTCTCTGTTCCTTTGAGTCTGTCCTATAAGACTAGAAGCATCCAAGTCTTCTCATTGGTGGAACTACACCTTATCTACCTACTCCAAGTTACTGCTGTTCTATACTTGCCTCATACTATTCATATTTGGGAAAGTCCCACTGCTAAAGATTAAAAATCTCATGGGAGACGTCTGGTCTTCAATCTGGCACATAACAAGCTTAGAAGTTGCCATCCTAATAATAAGTTAAAAAGCTGAACAAGCTAGAAAATTAAAAATTCTTCTTAGATCCGTCAGAAAAGTAAGGTCACAGGGCAAACCACTGGCCCTAAAATTGGAGAGACAAATTGATAAATATAGAGAATAAAACCTATCAGAGCAGGGCCAGGAACACAGCTCAGTGGTAGAGCACACACTTAGCGTGCATGAGGTCCTAGGTTCAATCACCAGTGCCGCCATTAAAAAAAAACAAAACAAAAAGTCTTACCAGAGCAGAAAACCATGAGCAGCAATCTCCATGGGAACGAGTGCCAGAGCAGGAAAACTCACCTGTTTTGATGAATTGATGGAGGCTCAGTGTGGACAAGCCTGGAGTTAAAAAAAAGAAAACAACCTCCGGGGGGAGATGCAGTCGTAGGGAGACCCCATGTTTTTGTGAGTTTTACCTCCAGGAGCTCTACAGCTTCTCACAATGCCTATCGGAGAGAACTCTCTCATGCTTACAGCAGAGGGACGAGAAACCACGTTCAAATACACCAGAGTGTTCTGTTCTTAACAAGGTTATTCCCTCAGGAGAAACTATTTAACCAGAGACTAACATGCTGGATTTTTGTCAGAGCCTAACTTCCTGTGAGAATGAAAACACCCACCTCCAGTCTCCTCGAGCTTTCCTGTTCCTCCGAATGCAGGGCTGGTGGGGGTCGGGGGGAGAGGGCGGAGAGTAAGAGGAAGACTCCGAAGCACATATGAGGTCCCACAGTCCAGAGGCACAAACTCACTTAAAGGCTGAGACCCAATCACGTGACTGTAGAAAGCGTCCCCTCCCCCCATACCTCATCACCACTTTACTAAGCACCCATTTACAGCAGTTCCTTTTGCCTTGTACATCATGTCTAGCTACAAAGAAAAAATTACAAGGCGTTCTAAAGGGCAAACAACACAATTTGAAGAGACAGAGAAAGCATCAAAACCAGACTCAGACGTGGCAGGAATGTTGGAATTCTCAGACTGGGAATCTAAAACAACCACGATTGAACATGCTTGGCGCTCTAATGGATCAAGTAGACAGCATGCAAGGACAGATGGGAAACGTAAGCCGAGAAATAAAAATTCTAAAAAGAACCAAAAAGTAAAACTGGTAGATATCAAAAACACTGTGACAGAAATGAAGGATGCCTTTGATGGGCTTATTTGTCGATTGGGCATAGCTGAGAAAAGCCTCTCCGAGCTAGAGGATATCTCAATGGAAACCTCCAAAACTGAAAAGCAGAGAGTAAAAAGACTGGGGGGGGGGAACCCAAAATAGAATATCTAAGAACTACAAAAGGTGCAATAGACTTGCAATGGGAAAACCAGAACGAGAACACCGTTGTGCAAACCCAAGGAGGATTTATTCAGCAAATGGTGACTCTCCTGTGTGTGTGTGTGTGTGTAAGTGTGTGTGTTTGCATGTACTTGTTTGTGTTATGTGTGTGTGTGTGCTTGTGACTTTGTGTTTGTGTAGTCAGGGTGTGTCTGTGTGTGTATATGAATGTGGGTTTGTGCGTGTATGAGTGCGTGTTTCTGACTTTGTGTGTTTGCGGGTGTGTGTATGGTGGGGAAGGCATTTATATCATAAAAATAACCCTGGGAAGGGTAGGTTGAGTCGGAATGTCAAGTGCCAAAGGGTACGTTTCAAGCTCCCAGCAAGTACGTTTAAACAGCGGGCGAGGAGATCCTTCACGACATTCAGAGACCACCGATGAGGAGCGTGGAAGGCGGACGGGAGGGGAGAAGGGCTCCGGAGAGGCCGAGAGGAGGGCTTGGCTTCGGGTTAGGCTCCGCCCCCTGGCTGGGAGCCAACTGCAAAGGGAGGACAGTGAGTGGATGGGGTGGGGGCTTCGGGGGCGGGGCTGCTGCCATGGGAACGTCAGCAGGAGCGCTGGCCCGGCTGCTGGGGCCCCTCCCCACGGCTGCCGAGCTCTCCTGCGTCCCCCGAGCTGCTCCTGAGAGATGGCCATGCTCTTGGACCCCCCAGACCAAGGACTTGAGGCCCTTGGACTAGACCTACTGACTGGGGACTGGACACTAAGCCACTTCGTCCAGCGGCTTGTGGAAGTTGCCGTAGACGACGTTCAGGATGCCTTCAGAGTCGTTCCTTTTTACCTTGCTACCTCCTTATGCACACCAAGGGCATATACATATATTTACCAGACACATATACATACATTTGGCTCCATGCCGGACAGCTGATCACTTCTGAGAGTCCCGGTTCTTGGCGTGTGTCCTGAAGATGCCCAACACCCACAGAATGAGGAGTTCAGATAATCAGGGATTTCACAGATTCTTTTCAGAGGTCTTTTCTTTGGAAGGATGACTGAGGGCTAATCCATAGGGGAAGTTTGCATGACGAGGGGACAGGGCAAAAGCGAGGAGGACAGAAGAAGAAATCAAACTAAAACTTCTATATCTTGTAGTAACTTATGGTGATGAAGACTATGAAAATGAATATACGTATGTTCCCGTGTGACTGAAGCACTGTGCTGTACACCAGAAATTGACATGACATTGTAAACTGACTATACTTCAATAAAATATATATCTACAAGAAAAAAAATTAAATAAAATAAATTTTGGTCCAAAAAAAATTGGTTTGTAATTTCCGGGAGCCTGCTAGCATTGACTTGGCAATGGCCGATGGGCTCCAAATCAGAAGAGACTTTAGATACTTTCACCCAGATCTTTTCTCACATTGTGTATCCTACCATACAGACAGACATAATAGAATCTAGTCCATAGCCCTCACATTGCAGATGGGGAAACTGAAGCCCATAGAGGTCAAGTGACTCTCTGAAGGTTACAGGAGATGGTTGCGGTAGAGCAAAGACTTGAATCCTGGTCATTGGACATTTAATGCTAACATCTGAAAAATTGTATTTAGTTACATTCTTATGCAAACCAGGCACATATACATATGTTCATGAGTAAATTTGGCTCCACGTATGCGGGCTAATTTTGGTTTGGGGTAAGAAAGAAACGAAGCAAGGATGTCGGACATTCCCATCAAATTTTATATTTCAATGTAGTTCAATGAACCAAATAGAAATTTAATTTATAAGTATATCCTCTATTCTTTATTGCCTTGAGAATGCAATAAAAGGAGAAAATTTTCTGTGAGGATAAATAAGGGCAAATTGGGTGAAATAGGATGAAAGGGAGAAATCAGGATATTCCCCTGTGAGGGACTGGAACGTGTCCTGTCACATCCGTGGCATCGCTTCCCTTTGTTCTAAGCCCTCATTCATCCTGTGCACCCGTCCTCCAGCGAGGGCCTCATCTGTGTCATTTAACCATCCCAGGTGGTATTACCATCCCGTTTCCAGAAAAGAAAAATGAGGCTCAGGATGTTTAAGTACTTTGCTGGCAGTTACAAAGCTGGCACGTGACAGATTCACTCTTGGAACTCATTCTTTGGAAAGTCTCACGGACTAGAATTCGGCAAGCTTCCTTCCGTAGGGAAAAGCCTACAAGTTGGTCGCCTGAAAAGGAAAGCATCTGAGCATCCTTGGGCTCCGGGGAGTGTCTCCATCTGTCTCCTGTGGATGGCTGAGTGTACAGTGTCCTTTTGTAGAGCCTCACCTGGCAGGTGGGTCACTGTGATGAGGAAGGATGGGTCTCCTGGTCCCATAGAAGGATCCTGGGATGATGGTGGCCCCTGTGATTCGGGGTGAGAAAGGACCCCAGGGAACCATGACCTTGTATAGTGGACCCCACTTTCAGGGCCAGTCGGCCACTGTGCCCCAGTCTGGCATTGGGAAGGGGCGGTGGGCTCTGAACCCGGGCCATTCCCGCTGGGCTGATTGGAGCCGAGCTTTCCTTCCATCCGCAGCACGGCCTTCGGTGTGCACACAGGTGCACGCCTCAGCTCTTGATGGACCCTAAACCTCTTTTTTTGCTGTTGTTTTTCTGGGTTTTCCTTTCATATGACTCCAATCCCAGCTCTCACTAAAGCAGGGGAAGGGGGCTTGCCCACCTCAATGGCAGGAGGCGGGAGAAGCTGAGGCGGGGTGGCCTGGTGGCCCACGAGTCTCTTTCTTGCTGTGCCTTTGACCCATTGTGTGGGGCCCTCCCCCGTGGACTTTCTGGAGCCTTTCCCTCCCTGTCTGAGCTCCAGGCCAGTGCTGTAGGTGGAATGGAAGGTGGGACATGCCCGCTGGCGTTTTCCTCCCGGTGCCCTGGAGGGCATCCCTGAGGTCTAGAGCAGGGGTTTGCAAATGTTTTCTGTAAAGCGCCAGAGAGTAAATATTTTTGGCTTTGAGGGCCTCGTGATCTCTGTCACACCACTCAAGTCTGCCACTGTGGTGGGAAAGCAGCTACAGACAAAATGCAATGAACGGGAGTGGCTGGATTCCAAGAAAACTATTTTATTTTCATTTTTTATTGAAGTGTAGTCGATTTACAATGTGTTAATTTCTGCTGTACAGCATAGTGATTCATTTATACATATACATATATATTCCTTTTCATATTCTCTTTCATTATAGGCTGTTATAAGGTACTGAATATAGTTCCCTGTGCTGTACAGTAGGACCTTTTGTTTACCTATTTTATATATAGTAGTTAGTATCTACAAATCTGGAACTCTCAATTTATCCCTCCCCACTCCCTTTCCCCCTGGTAACCATAAGTTTGTTTTCTATGTCTGTGAGTGTTTCTGTTTTGTAAATAAGTTCATTTGTGTCTTTATTTTTTTTTTACGATTGCACGTATAAGTGATATCATATTGTGTTTGTTTTCCTCTTTCTGGCTTACTTCACTTAGTGTGACTATCCAGGAAAGTTTTATTTACCAAAGCAGGCAGTGGGCTGGATTTGGCGCCTAGGTGTAATTCGCAGAACTTGATCAAGAAGACGGAGCGAATTAACTAGATGGGAGGAATCCTTTCATGGTGTATACATGTATCAAATCCTCAAGGTGTACACTTCAAATATCTTACAATTTTGTCAATTATAGCTCAATAAAGCTGGAGAAAAACAAGATGGAGCAGCCTGTCTCCCCACGAGTGCCATCCCAGAAGGAACAGACATCTCAGACTGACCCGAGACTCCCCAGGACCCTGGAATTTGTACAGCCAAGAGCTGTGTGTGCTAGCCTGGCCTGTGCAGCCCTGAGGTGATGTCCGCTGGCCTTGGGGAGCCTTGTTACAGAGCATCCTATTAAAGGAGCCACGGGCAGGAACGTGGGCCTGGATAGTGTCAGTGACAGTGTCCAGCTTGTCCAGCCTGTGCTCCAGAGCTTGCCAGCTGGGCCTGGGCCAGGGCTGGGTTGCGTTCAAAGGCTGCTAAACTTTCCAGAGACAAGTTTCGTCAACAGACATATGCCCAGCACACGGTGTTCTCATGACACTGGCCCCACACATTGAGTTCTTGGAAGACTTATGGGGTTTGAGTCTACTGTGGATCAGGCCCATTCCCAGACATGGAAGGGCCACTGGGAGGTGGGGGGCATGAGCCAGGGCAGACCCAGATGCCTGGGGTGCAAGGGGGAAGAGGGTAGGGATCCGAGAAGAACAGCTATAGCGTGGGCAGTGGGGAGGAGGATGAGCTAACTTTCATCAGGGATGCTGGCTTCCTGGAGGAGGCAGCATTGGTGGTGGGCCTTGAAAGATGGGTCAGATTTAGACAGGCGGGGACAAGGGACAAGGTGGGGAGAGTGTGGCCATGCTTGGCCAATAGCCAGAGCTTTTATTTGACTTTGACATATGGGGGCAGATCCTAGTTTCCAAAGATGATCTTAATA